TGGTACCTGTTTTGTTGTATTTTGCTATAATATAATGTATAGTGGTCTTGCCATAGCCAGTTTTTTGTGAAATGGCTCTTTCTGAGTTACCATCTTCATATAAGGCGATAACTTTTCCACGTTCGAAATCGGACAGTTCTTTTTTTTTAACCATTTTCGCGAAAAAAAGAACGAAAGAGCAAAAAAAAAAATTAATTTTATTGCGATTATCATTTATTGATTATCATATTACACAAAATTCTAATTTTATTTTAGTTAATTATGTATTAACTAGGGTTAAATGTCGATTATTTCGCAAATTTTGGGGTGGTTCTAAACTTTTGGCCAGGAAGTGTATATATATGTATCTATTAATATGTATATCATAAAGAATGTTTTATAAGAGTAAAATTAAATACTTTTATTACTTTAAGAATCTTTCATTATCAATTAATAAATTAACAAATCATCTTATAAATGGAACTAAAATTTGAAATAAATTTGTTTCACCTTTTAATAATAATATTTTACTTAAAATGTAATAATTATTATTGGCTAATTATCACATGTGATATTAATAATTTTTTTTCATAAACTGATATAATTATTAGTTATAATGATAAATCATACTCTTGAACTGATTATTTAATAAATCATAGATACATTAACAAGTACTTTTTAATAGAAATAAAAATCTCTTTATCGATTAGAAATCAAATTTTATTTATAAAACATTAAAAATCATATCCTTCAGGAAATTTCTTTCATTTGTTCCTATAAGTTATATATAATAACCTATTTTAAGTTGACTATTAATATAAATATAAGATAAATAATTTGATAAAATTTTATTTCAGCTTAATAGATTTTTCATAATAAGAAAAGAGAAATTTATAGTCAGTATAAAAAGGTGAGTATTTTACTGTTATTTGAGTTATGAAGAAGTTACGCCTATCACTAAATGTAAAATGTCTGAAAATTAAAATTTTTTTATATAACGGCTGTAAAAATTCTTCTTGTTTATTAATGTTGATATATTTGTTCATATTTATTTTTGTTTATATTATTCATAGAAGTTATAAAATGCAAAACTGACAAAATAAAAAAAAATAGATAGGTTTAATTAATTTTAATAATATTTAACAAATATTAATTTATCAATTAATCAATTTTTAAAAATCATAATCTTAAAGAGATGAATGCTAATTTATGTCTAGTACTATAAATGAAGCTAAAAGTTCAGATACTATTAATTCATATACTAATTTATTTTTTTTATTTTTTACTTATATATAATATTAATAAAGCTAAAAGGTCAAATATTATATATACAATTATTTTTTTTTTTATACATATATATTTAGAAATTTTAATTTTTATAGTATTTCAAATATAGGTTAGTTTATTATTTAATTAGAGCTATCTTTTAGTTGAATTTCAAGAATTTTAATTATTGTAAAGTATGTAGTAGGTATTAAGATAAATCTTACTAATCCATTAATTGGTGTAAAGAATAAAGAAGTTTTGATTTTATTGTTAATTAATAATTTTCGCAATACATAATTATTTTTATAAGTGATTATTAATATTACTTTTTATCAAATTAATTTATATATAATTTTTTTTAAAACTTTTCTGATTTGGAGACCTTGATTTATTAATTCATTTGATCAAATTTAATTGTGATCTTTGATTTTTATTACTAATTAATATTTAATCATTTCTGCTATTTTTATAGGTAATTGATGGTATGTAATTAATTCCTATTAAGCTAGATTTTCGTGATGTATATTTATAAAATTTTATTTTAATATATAAAAGTTAGATATTATTTATAGATTAAATTAAATCTTTAATATATATTTTTTTTAAAATCTAAAACTTTGATTTAGTATATTAAGTTTAAGAAAATCTATAATAAATTTAACCAAAGATACTTATTATATATAATTCTAATTATATTTAATTAATAATTTAATATAAAAAATTTTGATCAATTTAAAATAACATTATAAAATTTATTTAATAAATACAATCAGTTATTAAGGTAAATTTATATCTAATTTAAATTTACTAATATCTATATTTATAAATAATACAAAGAATCATCTATGCTTGAATTTCAAAACTTTGCAAAGTTTTAAGTAATTAGCGATTTTAAAGCAAGCATGAATTAAAATGTAATTTTTGAAAATTTTTCCCTTAAAATTAATCAGAATAAAATTAACAAGAAACCCATGATGAATGTCCATTATAAAGTGATGATAATTAACCGAATAGGCATAGTTTAAGATTCTTGATAACCTTTTTTTCGATGAATTTGCTTATCTAAAATTAAAGTTTAAAGTTATATAAATAATTACCAAAATTCAAAGCACATTCGTTATTGTTCATGATGTGATTCTCTTAACTTATCTTTTGCCTTTCAAAGATTACTTTTTGTTTTAAAATTATCTTTTGATGCCATCAAATCTTTTAGCACACCAAGTCTAGTGGCTTCGCGATGAAGGAAGTTCCGTTCGTGCTTCAACTCATCGAGTCGTTGACTGTTCACTTAGTGATTTGACTTCTTTTTGCATATCAAGAAGGTTCTTCAATACTTCAGCAGGTAATGTTCTAGTTAATATTCTCTCAGCCTTTTCCGATTGCTTTTGAGCAAAGGGATTATTAGTTTTTAGAATTTCTAATTGAGCTTCTAGGATAGTTTCTAACCACTCCCGTAGATCTTCATTAAGATCCTTTTTTGCGTCGCCAATTAATTTTTCTAGTTCCCTCTTCTTATTTTCCAATTTCTGAATAAGATTTTCCTCTTCAATTTTTTCCACTTCGCCTTTTAAACTAGTATTGGCAAAACTGTTATTAGGTTTGATTATGTCAATTAATCTTTTCAATTGACGTTGTGCTTGTTCCTTTTCCTTTTTCAACTCTTCCATTGTATCATTTAAATTACCCAAAAACGTAGTGTAAAGATCAGTCCTAGCATCCTTATTAAGAGTAACTAATTTGGTGTTCTTACTTAAATCCAAACTATTTAATTGATTAAATTGACAATTTAAAGTCGTAATAGCAGGAGCATTACTTAAATTAAGACTTGTAAGTTTGTTATAATTACAATTCAAGTTTTGGAGAGCTGGATTACCCCCCAAGTTCAAATTAACAAGTTGATTATAATAACAATTCAAAGTCTGTAACGCTGAATTTTTCTCAAAATCTAATTCACTTAGATTAGTGTACACAATTTGTATATAATTTAATTTCAAGCATTTATTGACCTTCAAGCCAGTTAAAGCTTGCCTTTGATTTTGGTTGCTACCTTGAATATATAATCTTTGCAAATTCACAAATTCATTCAAATTTAATTCGTCTTCCAAATTGGAGTTATAAAATGTAAATACATTGTTTTGGTTGGTATTTGTTCCTGTACTCTGATATATATTCAAATGAACTATTTGACCTCTTTGATTTATATTTGGAACATTGGCATTTAGCCATTCTTGAGCTTTTGTCATATTTTAACCATCAAATAATTACGTTAAGGATCATATGATTTTATTAGCAATTTTTAACATGGGCATCATTGTAGCCAATCATATTAACTATAAAATCTCCGAATTTTTACTCACCGGAATTTTTTTTATTAAAAAGTATACAGTGTTGAACTTCTTGCCTACCACGAGTACCACAACTACTTAACCAATATTAGTATTACAGCTTTAAATACGCCGCGTTTTCAAGTCTTTGAGAAATTGTTTTTATTACAAAAGCTTAAATCTTAAAATCTCCACACTTCATCACCATGTCCGTGTCCGAAGGAGGAGCACACCCATCCGGAGACGATGATATCGAAGATTTTAAAGAACAGGATCGATTCCTTCCGATAGCAAATGTCGCGCGTATAATGAAACGCGCTTTACCAGAAAACGCAAAGATAGCGAAAGAAGCCAAAGAATGCGTACAAGAGTGTGTTTCCGAATTCATTTCATTTATAACAAGCGAATATCCTTTATTATTATTATTATTTTTTTTTTTTTTTTGCGAAAAAAAAAATTTGTAAAACACGTTATAAATTTTGAAGACAATATCGTATCTTTTTCCTTGACCTATAAATTTTTTATTCGTACGGCAAGTGATCGTTGTCAGCAAGAAAAAAGAAAAACCATTAACGGGGAAGATATTTTATGGGCGATGCAGTCTTTAGGATTTGAAAATTATGCGGAGGCACTAAAGATCTACTTGGCAAAGTATCGAGAGGTAAGAGAAATATTTTCGGATCATTTAAATTGATCAGATTTTATCGATATCAATGTCATTAAGATTGAATTGAATTTATGCAAATTTGTTAAATTTAATAGACTACAAAGATTGAACGCTCAGCAAATTCTAAAGATAAAGATGATGATGGGAATGATGAAGATGATATATATTCATCACAGCCACCTCAACATGCGTCTTACTATCCAGGTAAATCTCTTCATAAATAAGGATATTCGTATTGGTCATATACTAACCTCGTTAACCTTGCATAATAGTGCCGCCGCATCAAAGTTATCTCGGTGATAACAATCCAAGTTAATTAATTATCACTATCATTTAATTGTTTATTTCACTTGATATATATGCATATATCTTTTTTTTTTATTTTTTTGTTTTTATTTTTTTTGTTTTTCTTTTTAATTTCGATGCCGATTTTCAGTGATTGGATAAAAAAATATAGAGTTTTTAATTTTCTTTTATAAATACACGATATTAATAGGAAAGTTTTTATTATTATTTTTTTTTAAAAGGCTTGGATGAGTGATCTTAAACCTAATAGACAAAGAATTTATAATAATTTGAATTATATATTAATATTTTGTCGAATATTAATGTTTATTTATTAGTAATACAATTAGAGTGCATTGAGTTTTTGACATGGATACATTCTTTGAAACATTTATTTTATTTATTATTATTTAATTGTTCAAACAAATAATAAACATTAATGCAAATAAAACCACGCATTAAATTTCCCGTAGAAAAAAAAAAAAAAAAAACATTACGAGGCAATTAGATTAAACGAACTTGTTATGAATTCCGCGGAATAATTACTGACATATCCGATGATCATACGAAAATTTCTTTTTTTTATAAAAAAAAAAATAAAAAATAATAATAATAATAATTTCTTTCATTCCTCTGATATAATGTTTATCAGTACCTTGAGAATTTTTTCTCTTAAAAATTTGATCAGAAATCATCCAGTCAGAAATCCCAACCTTAACGTTACACCCCGGATTTCACCTTTTGTGCGTACCTTTTCGGCAACCGCCCAATGCCGTCGATTAAAAATTCCTCTTAAAAAAATCGATCCAAAAGTAAAAGTACCCGATGATCCGTATGACTTAACCAAATTGATAAATAAATTTAGCGAAGAGGGTAGGTTCGAGGACGTATTATCAATCGTATGGAATACGAAAAGGAGCGCGCAATCAGTGGTCGTATGGAATCATTTGATTCATCACAGCGTCAAGAAAGGAAAGCTTAAATTAGCAATTCGATTATTAAATGAGGTTTGTAAACTTTTTATTTTTTTTTTTAAAAAAAAAAAAAAAAAAAAAATTTAATCATTGATTGATAAAACGTACGTTAGATGAAAAAACGTTCGTTCGTTCCAAATGAACAAACGTACACAATCTTATTAAATGGTATCGCGGAAAATCGAACGTTCAACGATAACGTCGCACAAGCTCGAACCATCTTGGAAAGTATCCAACATAGTCAAGTTGAACTTAACTCGATTCATGTCAATTGTTTACTTAAAGTTTGTTCCAGATCGGATGATTTTGAAACCTTAAAAGAGATTTTTAATGAATTCATCAGTAAGGGGAAATGGTTACCAAATCAAGAATCATTTACGATCATGATAAATGCTTGCGCGAGGCAAGGTACTGATGGGTATGATATCGCATTAAAATTATGGAATCAATTCGATGTTAATTCCATAGAGTATCAACAAATGGTGAAACGAGATTTGGAGTGGAATTTGGTTAAGAGACCTAGTGAGGTTACGATTGATGATCACCTTGTACGTTCCATGTTATTGGTTTGTAAGAAATCTCTTCATTATGAGAAGGCATTTGAAATAATCGGAAATTATTATGGTTTGAGATCCGATGATGACCCTTCATCATCATCATCATCATACATCTGTCAATTATCAACTCAAACCTTGGACATCATACTCGGGTTATGTATTGATGGTAAAAAATATGAAAGGGGGATAAAGTTATTTGATCAGGCCTTGAATCAATTTCCGGACTTACCATTAGATATCTATAATTTTAATAAATTGATCCTCATGTGTAATCAATCAAAACAATTTGAAAAGGCCATTTCAACAATAAATTCCATTCGGATCAGAGATTTAAATTTAACCCCGGAAACTTATGATTTACTCATGATTTCTTGTAGGATGAATGAGAATTGGTCCATGGCCAAATTATTATATATAGATATCATGAAATTTAAAAAGAAACTCGCTTTTGATTTACGAATTTTAACAAAGGTATTTGAATTGGCCGAGATTAAACGGATCAATGATCATTCTTTATTTGAAACTAGATGGCTATTGATCTCATTACATAAAATTGGTTTACAAGATATCATTACTTCGATTGAAAACGAAAAGAATTTTGAATTATATAACAACAACTTGCTTGGTCAGATTTTGAACGCTTATAAATCAACTTTAGATGATGAAGGTTTGACCGATCAACAAAAGGTCCTTTGGATCAGGAATTTTAAAATTCTTAAAGATTACTTCGAGAGGAAACAAATTTCCAACAGGATGAGATCTAAAATCACATACATAAATACTCCTAGAGGGGTGAAAAGTTTCGAGACACTTATAGGAGATTCATAATTATCTTTTTCAATAAATTTTATGATAATAGTATATTGTATATTATTATGAGCTAGTTGAAATTCAATGTCTACTTTTTATTATACTCAACAATCTAATGTAAACAAACCCGTTAAAATAATCTAATCATTGTATAATTTTCCAAATTGAAAAATTCAAAAAGAAAAAAAAAAAAGAATTCAAAAGAATAATCCTGAAGATTGGTTTTTACTTCGATTTATAAATTACTTGGATTAATTTCACCTAGGAAAATTTGTCGATCGGTACTTCCAGAAACAACTGTATATAATAAGAAATAACTTAACATCAGATAAATGTAAAATAAAATCGACAAAATTAAGAAACTTACTAATAGGCTCATTAGGGTGGAAATCCACTTCGTTGACGCAACCTTTATGACCAGGTAATTTATATAAAATCCGGCGACTCGAGAAATCCCATATTACAACCGTTCGATCACCGCTTCCTGAGGCTATTTGTAAGCCATCTGATGACCAAGCGGGTTTGATTAAATTTTTCTCAAAACTATGAGGTGCACCTTTATAAAGACAATTGATAAAGTGTTTGATGAAATAGGAAAATATTAAACAAATAAAGCAAAATTTACATTATACCTTCAAAGATTTTAAGAAGGCGATCGGTTGGGGCAAAAGGCTTAACATCCCAGGCTCGAACTAGATAATGCAAAATGAATTGTAAAACGAAATATATTTATAGCTCGAATCATGTACATCAAAATAAAAAATTTACCCGTGTTATCCATCGCATTGGATAAAAGATAAGATCCATCAGGGCTCAATTTTATACCGGATATAATATCTTGATGTCCTTTGAGAACATAAGCATGAGCCTTTTTCCTTAAATCCCAAGCCTAATACAGTTAAGATGATAGGTCAATTAAATTATCAAAATAATGTTATATATAAATATATCACGAATTGTATTTATCAGGATATTCAAGAAACTTTAACCATTATGTATTGATATACGGTCTTACAGTAATTGGACATTGAAATCGTCATCATTTTTTTAAAATAGCGTTCTTATTATGAAGTCAAAGAAAGATAAGAATTGACTTACAATAATATCATTATCCAAACAACCCGCAAACACCAAATCTCCAGCTTCACTAAAACATGTAGCTGTTATTTGATACTGGTGAGTAAAAGTGTCAACGGCATGTTTTTGTCGGAGATCCCATATCTAAACAAATTTCAAAATCAAGCCATTAGTCATCATTCTTATTTCGACATAATTTTGTTCATCATTTCAATTATTAACTCACCCTTATGGTACCATCATCACTACCGCTAACTAGAATTTCATTTCCTCTACGAGCAGCAGATACACTATTGACAAATGATGTGTGACCTTTAAACTTTTTTATCCTTGTGCCAGTTGTTACGTCCCATACGCCAACAGTTTTATCCGTAGCGCATGAAAAAATCTTGCTAAAGATAAGAAATGAAATCCATGATTAATAACATTCATTTATTTATTCTTTTATCATTTATCAACAACTTACCTAGAATCTCGTGACCATTGAAGTTCCATAATGGCTCCATTATGACCTTTTAATACTCCATAATTAATACAATCACCGTATGTGTTCCACAATACTAAAAAAAAAAAAATTTTTAATCAATTATTTCTGTTGGTTTCAAAATTGAAGACTAGAGTAATTGCTTACATATCGTTCTATCAAATGAACCAGATGCTATGTGTTGTCCCGAAGGGCTAAATCTTACAGTGTATATTTCTCCCTGAAAAACAAAGTTGCTTAAGATAAATTGGCTATAGGATTTGTCAAATTTTTTTTTGAAAAGCATTTTAAAACAAGATAACAACCTCACACCTGATGTCCGGATAACAGCATTATCGGTGCTTGAAGACCGGACGTACGTTTAATCTAACAAAAAAAGCGTATAACGTTAAAGAACCGACTTGTTTAAATTTTTGAAAAATAAATTAAAAACAAACCGTTTGTATTAAAGCGCCATTAGATCCTGAACCAGCACTTGTAATAGTCAATGCATTTGTTTGATCCAATTTCTGTTTTTTGATGAGTTGTCCAGAGCCTTGCGAACTTGGTTCGGGAGTTTTATCTGACATCGTGTTTGTATAGCTGTAAGTGAAAAAAAAAAAATTGTAAAATTTGTCGTATTCATCATTTTTATATAATGGTGGTACAATGCTAGAGTCACGTTTAACATTCAAACATAAATCTTGAATATCAAAAAATGGTTTTATTATTCGCGCGTTTGACAATAAAAAAAAACGACTAATTTTACGCGGGTATTATATTTAGCTATAAAAATATAAGTATCCTTTTTGCTGAGTCATTGGTTCCAACTATTCGTTTTCTTTATTTTATTTTTTTTCCGAGTTTATTTGACAAAACGATCTATATTGTAAAATAAAAAAAAACTATTGGCGTTTGAAAAAAAATGCCAGATTCAGCAGGTTTGCCCTACCTTTTTTTTTCATTGTCTTAACACGAAAAAACTTGGACTAATTTAATTAAATAGACCTTTACTGCTAATTTGATTTGTTAAAACAGAGCATTTAGACAATACTTCAACAACAGTCGCCGAGGCCACAATAGCCGTAGATAATCAATTGAATGAAGAATCAAAAAGACCAAGAAGAGTGTTAAAAACGCATCGAAAAAGTGTTGATGAATCAAAAGCTTCGTCATCATTGCCACCTAAAAAGACCGAAAATATTAACACTATTGATGATTTTGATGAATCAATTACAACCGAAAGTTTAAAGGTAAATCGAGTATCAACCAATTAATTATGGATCGGTGAAAATCCTTACATCTTTTTATTATCTCTTAGGATATACTTAATGTCACTCAATCGCCAACGGAGAATGATGATACAGGAAGGCCGAATAATAACCAAGATTATGATGGTTCTTCTCAAAAGGTTGACGAAAGTAAATCTAATCATTTGATAATCGAGAAAGAAAAATCTATACTTCATCTGCTAAAACTTTTCTTTATGTTTGACCTATCTAGGGAGAAGATGCTGAGACGGACGAAGAAATAGACCCTGCTCAAATACGAACTAGTAAGATATTAATTAATAGGGATTATTTCAAAACTTTTATTAATATAATGAAATCTTTTCTAAATTTTGTTTAGTTCCTCCTTCTCAACATGAGCAAACTTCAACTCTTCACGTTAAAAATTTTGTTCGCCCTTTGACAATTCCTATGGTTAGGAATTTGTTGGAACAATTTGGCAGGATTGAATATTTTTGGATGGATAAAATTAAGTCTCATTGCTATGTGAAAGTAAACATCTATTAAGTAAATTATTGATATTGAAATGTTTGAATTTTTATAAATCATGATAATTTATAAATGATATTATCATTTATGAACAGTTTGAGAAATTGGAATCAGCGATTTTGGCACGAGAATCACTATGGCATACGATTTTCCCGCCTGAAACTGGTAGACCCCTCGAACTTGAATTTTTAACTTTCGAACAGGCGCAGGGGTTAATTGTTGAAGCCGAAGAAAAATCGGCGAAAAGTGGACACGGAGCTTCGCGCGAAGCAAGAGATAAGAGGCTTAACGGGAATAACAATTGTAATGATTTTGTTATTTGTTACTCGTGTATTCACACTATTCTTAATAAATTTAGAAACTTACTTCAAACTAATTATAGTGGGAAATGCGGCCGCGATCCAATTTCCAATTCCAGCACCACCATCACAACCTACATCTAATGTTAAGGTTATATCTTTAGATACTCTTTTCTCAAAAACTTCTACAAAACCTACATTATATTATAAAACAGTTTCTCAAGAAGATGCCAAAGCAAAGATGAAAATTTTGGAAAGAAGTAGGGGAAGGCGTCGGCCGTAAGTTTAGTATTTGGCAAATAAATTTAGTACTTACAATTTTTTCTAATTCACAGGATATTTATAAGAATGAAATAATTGAATTCATGCTCTCTTTAGTTTTGTTTGTATTTCTAAATGTTTTTTTACAGTGTCTAAACGGGGTACAGATATTATATTTTTATGCAGATATTCAAAAACTTTATTAATCTAAATATATATATATATATTTTTGAATTTTAATAAAATTCAAATTTAAGATCTACTTATGATGACAAAGAGAATATATTGATGTGATTTTTAAAGGTATATATTATTTATTATTAATTTTTTTTTTAATATTCCGTAGTTTAACTGAATTATTTCACAACAGATCTCAATATTTATAATAGATGTACTTTTTTTTGGCCTCAGATGTTTGTTTACAGCATATTGATTGACAATACAATTCCAGAAATCCCCATTTCTATATTCTTTATCAAGTTTTGGTTCTCATTTTCACGTATTGAACTATTTCGCGTTCGAAGTTATTTTTTTATCTTTAATTTAGGTATAATATTTTATTATTTTTTCTCATACTAAAGAGAATTTCTTAATTGTATGATTCCAAGATTTTCAATAAATATTTTAATTTTCGACAAAAATTCATGATTCTGGTCAATTAAAAAAAAAACCAATCGTGAAATTTATAGACTTGGTGATAAATTTACTATAGGATCTTTTCATAGAAAGGGTGGAACTTTTGGAAAAATAAAAATGAGTTAATGCTAAATCTGAACGTAAAAGGCATTGATTTAGTTTAAGCCAGTTTTGAAACTTTAATTTATTTAGTGATTAAATAAATTTGATATGTATAATTAAAATAGCAGAATTAAAACAACCCTTTAAGTATGTAAAGTAATACAAAATACAAATTCAGAAAAAAACATCTCTATATAAAAAACTAATTTTATATCAAAACTGACATGTACTATCCTAAATCTAAGCTAAAACTATCACTTTACAATAATAGTAATATGTGACATAGGAGGTTTAATCATTACAACATCAAAAATTTGATCATATAGGTTCTAAACAAATCATCTTATCTAAAGAATCAAAGAGAAAAAGGTTAAATCAAAATTAAGAATATTTGATATTGATATTAACTTTTTAAATTTTTAGAGATAACAAATATAGAATGTATTCTGTAAAAGATAAATTGCATAAAATCAGATAAAACTGCTAAAGTTAATTGTTCGATTATCAATAAGCATAAACTAAATTGTAAAATATTATAATCTCAACTAAAGCTTTAAATGATTCAGATTAATCTGACCATTTGGTTCAAATCAAATTTAATTATTTTTAGATTTAATAAAAATTAATTTGAAAAATTTATATAAGTTTTGAATTAAATATTTCAAATTAATAATTTCAAATTAATCTGAAAATTTCATATTGAATCATTTTAATTGAATAATAAAATTATTTTCAATTAAAATAATTAAAATTATATTTTAATTAAATGATAAAAGAATTATTTAACTATAATAATCAAAATTATTATTTTAATCAAATAATAAAAGGATTATTTAATTGAAATGATCAAAATTATTATTGCAATCAAATAATAAAAGAATTTTTCAATTAGAATATCAAAAATATTATTCAATAAAATAATTAAATTATCATTTAATTGAAACAATTAAAAATATCATTATATTAAATGATAAAAAAATCATTTAATTAGAATTATCAAAAAATATCATTTTAATTGAATAATAAAAGAATTGTTTAATTAAAATATTTAAAAATATTATTTTAATTAAATAATAAAAAATCTTTTGATTAAAGCTATCAAAATTATTAAAAATATAATTAAGCTAGATTTTCAAATTTTTAATTTAGATTAGGATTAAGATTAGTAACATTTTTAAAAATTATTAATATTTATTCTTTTAAAGGTTAAAATTTCATATATAATATAAATTTTAATATTAATATTATTTAAATAAAGTGTTAATTAATATTTATTAATTAATACTTATTAATTAATTTGAATTATTTGAAAAGATAAAATATAATGAAATATATACATATAACTTAATCTATTTTATTAATATCAAAAGTTTAAAATACATATAACTACTACTTTTTACTTATTTTTTTTTTTTTTTAATATGTAACCTGTTAATAATTTATTAATTTTATAAAAAAATATATTAAAATAAATCAAAATAAATTATTTATAAGTATTAATTATTTTTTATAATTTTATTACAAATTCATTTAAATAAATTTATTATTATCTTTTTATTTTAATAGACCTACTAAATATATAAGAAAGAAAAAATTAGTATTTATTTAAATATCTAGAAATATATTATTAAATTTATTCACTAATTATATTTAAGTTTTTTATTTTCTTAAAAGTTTAGAAGGTATTTATAATTTAAATATTTATAAGATTTTATTTATTTTTATTTTTTTTTGTGATTTTTAAGGATCATATAAGACTTTTGCAATAGAAAAGAAAAAAATAGCTCAAAAAAATAAAAAAAATAAGTTAATGCTAAATTTAAAAATATTTTGATCTAAAAATCATATTTAGTATATAAAAATAAAATTAATTTTTTTCTGATTATTTTTCACCTTTTATTATTGCAAAGTATTTCAAAAATCTTCAAAAAATCTTTTAAAAAAAAATTAAATTATTTATAAAATCATAGAAAAATACAATTTTTTATCTTTAATAATTTTATATATTAAATTATTAATATAATTAAAATAAGAATATAAAAAATAGCATATTTTTACCAATCAGATTTTTAGGATCAAGTACTAAATATTTGAATATAATACTAAAAATTTAGATAAAATTTATTATTAAAATATTAAAAAATATTATACTAAATAATCATTATATAAAAGAAAAAAATAATAAAAATTTTATTAATAAATAAGAAGATTTGAAATTTAGTCATATTTTGAATTATCATATGTTTTTATAAGTGGTTTTGTAAATCAATAATATTAAACATTTTTAAAAAATATATTAAATATTCTTATATATATAAAAATATTATATAACTCTATTTTATTTAATACATTATTAATATTATAGAGATAAAAATTAAGTTTTTCTAATTAAAATAAAGTAGATAATTTGTTTATAATATTTTTTATAATAAAAATTTTAAGGAAAACTGATGTAAATGATATTAATAATAAAAAAAAATTTACAAATAATAAAAATTATATAAAAAACTAATT